AGTGGGGTACAACAAGCCCTGCACGGGTGCCGCTGTTAGAAACAAGAGTATTTTGGACACTTATAGTGTAAGAATATATTGTGAATTGAGTCGACCACCTAAGTTGTATTGCCTATCTTACGGCGCCTATAAAAAAAATAATGAAATTAAGATTAAATCTTATCATCAACTATATTGTATCCCATTTAACTTTCGGTGTCGATATGTGTTTATGTTGTTATAATAAGTGTGTTTTATCGTTCGTATTTGGTCGTCTTTTCTCCTTTATCATGAATGTTCACAGTTCAGTTTGAGTAGATCCTGTATTTATTACCTTGTGACACCTTAACATGAATAAGTGTCGTCTCTAAGCCTCGGATTACGATATTTTCAGTGCCCAGATGTGTGACAAATCTAACAAATATGTTTCACGTGTTCATATCTAGCGAGGATTTTGAAGAAATAAACAATGAAATCAGACAACGTGACGAAGTCATTGAAAATACACGAACAACCGAAAACATTAAACCATTGTCTGTTTAAACTGATAACAACAGCAAAGAAATGTTTGTATTTTAAATGAAAAAGTACCATGTTGTAACATAGAATGGACTGAAACGACAAGACAGCAGACACCGAGAATACACACCAAAAGAAAGGAAGATAGGAAACAGAGGCAAATTTAAAAGGCGCGTGAATTCGACGCATGCGCGTTATCGCATGACTAACTTCTGTCTACCACTCGGTTATTAAACAAATTCATTACCATTATTTGAAAAGTAAAAAAAATATTTTACAGACAGACACAAACTAATAGAAAAATTTAAAACGAATACAAAAATTACTTTAAAATGTCAATCTACGCAGTTGAAAAAACGACAGCATATTAGCGCAAAGGATTTAGATAAAAAAATGTTCGACCGACAAATTTTTAAACAGTACGACTAATGTATCGCCCTGACATTTGATCGGATGACGTATGTATCGCCCTGACATTTGATCGGATGACGTATATATCGCCCTTACATTTGATCAGATGACGTATGTATCGCCCTGACATTTGATCGGATGACGTATGTATCGTCCTGACATTTGATCGGATGACGTATGTATCGCCCTGACATTTGATCGGATGACGTATACTGATCATGTATCGCCCTGACATCTGATCGGATGACGTATGTATCGCCCTGACATTTGATCGGATGGCGTATACTGATCATATATCGCCCTAACATTTGATCGGATGACGTATGTATCGCCCTGACATTTGATCGGATTGCGTATACTGATCATATATCGCCCTAACATTTGATCGGATGACGTATGGATCGCCCTGACATTTGATCGGATGACGTATGTATCGTCCTGACATTTGATCGGATGACGTATGTATCGACCTGACATTTGATCGGATGACGTATGTATCGCCCTGACACTTGATCGGATGACGTATGTATCGCCCTGACATTTGATCTGATGACGTATGTATCGCCCTGACATTTGATCTGATGACGTATGTATCGCCCTGACATTTGATCTGATGACGTATGTATCGCCCTGACATTTGATCTGATGACGTATGTATCGCCCTGACATTTGATCGGATGACGTATGTAGAACATATATGGAATGTGTTTATCTGCACGTTATTTCACATAGAGGACAGTAAGCGATTCCATGACTCTTTTCATCCATAATTCAGTGAGACTTCTGGACTAAAACAACCATATCCAGGTCTACATATATATATATGTATATGCGTGTTGAAGCATCATTAGTAAGTCTAAATTAAGACTAGTTGTCGGTCTATAGGCAAATTACAAATACGTATGAACACAACCGGTAAGTTGATACACGAGTACGACACATAGAAGATCACCATGAGATAACACAGCAAGGTTCACCCAAAAACATGGTCTACACTTGTTATAACTGAACCGAATTAGCTCATTTTCTCCATTTTTTCCCAAGCACATTTGAAAGGTACACAAGAATTAACGACACAGAATATATGTACACAAGAATTAACTATATATTAGTAAAAGGTTTACAAGAATTGATGACACGGTAGAAAGGTACACAAGAATTAATGACACAGTTGTAAGGTACACAGGAATTGATGACACATTTTAAGGATACACAAGAACATTTGCATTGACCATTAACACCAAAGCAATACTTAAAAAACATTTGTTAATGATGCTAACTCTACAACATAGATATCAAATGAAAGACAACATATGTCCTTAACTAAAGAATCTTAGTTTAATTTATATATCTATACCTTTACAGTGGATCAACCATGTCCGTAAACAAGGTGTACGTGAAGGTGTGTTAGCTAAGCGAGCCAGACTTACGTCATGTTCCTTAAATATTGCGTTACATGCCCACTAGCCCTCGGAATATATAATGTAGGTCCTATTCAAATTCTTTTGATTAAATCTAAAATGTGTCTTACTGAAGTTAAAAGTTGGACAGATACCAAACACGGGAATTACGAGAGTGCAATTGTCATATATCATTTACGTAAACAGAGGGCTATGTGAGTTCACTGGCACAGAGCTGAGAAAATAGTTCACCTAGATCAGGTAAGCATCTTACTTACGATGTGTGAACACTGCACCATTCAAACAAATTATATATTTACAAACGGATATGTCACAAGCCGTTCTCCGTTTCTCCATTTCTCTTGCCACCCAATTAACCACTACCGAGTTGGGACGATCTGTTATTGATGATAATGTACAGTAATTGACTATTCAACCGTATCACGAGTTCTGGAAATCAATAGCGAAGCAGAAGGTGCACTCATTGTCACTGTGTTAATTCGTGTCTGGTTTCTGTGATGCCAAAGCGTTTGTTAGAGATGAGTTCGGTCATATTGCGCTTCTGCACTAAGAGTGCATCAGCAAAACCTATTATTGTTATTTACTGTTCGTGAACAACACCGAAAAAAACAGTATGACGAGTTCAATATCCTTTAGTCCCTCCCTGATGATTTGGCTACCAGCCTCCCAGCGGGACCTAAATTCTCAAACCGGATCCCAAACATATTCTCGCACGGTACTGTTAGAAATGACGATAACTGTTTTCTTGTTCCTGCCGTTCGGATCTTCCAGATTTGTACCAAGGAATCTCAAAAGCGTACGTCACTCGGCACACCGTTGTTTATTCCCTTGGTACAGAGGTTTTCCAAACAGAACATTTCGAATACAGAAATGCACTTAATTACGCCTCTTGTCAACTGGGGAAAATCATGACTTTGTTTTTATGGGCAAAAATTGCGCACGTGATGACATGGCACGAGCACTTTTGAAGTACAGCAACAGTTAATGCGTCATTACATCAATAAACATAATGACCGACAGTTAATCATGTTAACTAGAACACTTATAGGGTTACGCATGTAGGGGTCTGGTACGGAACAGAAAACTAAAAAACTTCCTTCGGGATGAAATCTACACATAAAACCGCAAGATATGGTAATTTACGACACATAGTTCCGTTCAAACATGGGATGGGTGGATTTATACACTTTTTTTTCTAACTTTAGATAAAGGTGTGCAGCACTAAACTAGAATAAAATGGGAAGGAAAACACTTAAATACCTAAATGTATGAACATGTATTCAGTATAGATCTAAGCCGCCTACACATATTCTTCGTACGATTCCATTCACAAAGTTACACTAAACAGCAGAAGATCGATCTGAGCTTCGTGCTTAGCTGTCACTGGTGCGTAGGCTTCTCCGCTTCTGGGGTCAACTCGGGTCACGGTCGGGCTTTTTAAGATTTAATGTTGCTCATTGTACTAGCCCCTATTAGTTCAAGAAGCATGAAGGTTTGTCTACCAGGGAACATCTAAGATTGATTTGTAGCCCCATTTTGTATCGACCGCGTACGTATAACGCAGCTCGAGTGTAAAATCTGAGTCAGTAAGTTAAGGAGCCATTGTTAGCTTGATCTATACATTTATCAAGCAACGATATTATCTATTAAGCCAGTATTAGTGAATTAATTGATAGTGTTTTGCTAGTCAGCTGAAACACAATACTTTCTAACTACATGTAGACATGTTCAAGTAGACATACTGCTGAGCGGAGAAATGTAAACTTAGAACTGTATGGTGAAGCTAACAAGGTACCGAGAGAAAGAAAACGAACCATGTGTCATTTGAATACAAGGAAACGTATGCAACGTATATAAGTTTTGTATGTAAGAGTATTATATATATCTGACTGATGTTGAACACATTTGTAGTCTACGTACGGCACAGCTGTGTTACGTACGTACTGCATACAATAAACGGTATACTCCCCTCCCCACCCACGTACTATATACAATAAACGGTATACTCCCCACCCTCCCAACACACACACACTTTCCCCCCTCCGTAGGGTAGGAGTGTATACTTGTAGCCTCCTTTCTGTTGCTCCATAGGTAAGGATGTGAATATGTGTGTATACACACAAACCTGTAGTATTACACATACAATACACCATCCTTATGTCACAAATCATTATCAATGGCACGGGTTATGAATGTAAGAATACAAATCTGTTCAAGTAGATTATGCCAAGTGCAACTCTGCCTGTGCCCCATTAGGAACCGGCGATGTTCATGCCAGGGATACTCCGAGGTACTTAGATCTACCTAGATATGAGTGAAGTTATAATCTGAGTGAGGTAGTGTATGTGTGCTTAGCTGTGCGGGTATAACTGATCAAAGAATTTCATTTTCTCCTAGAATGTTAATCAAGGGATGCATTTTCAGAACATTTCACGGAAATATGAATGCTTTTTAAGCAGACGACTCAGGTGAAAATTATCTTATTAACATAAAACACACGCAAGACGTGACAAACGCTCTGATAACCTTAACAGGTATACTGGTATACCACTCAGATGATTACATATAGGGTCCCACTCAGCTCGTGTACAATGTGTAATACTCGTGTTCTTACTATCGATTTATAAAACAAATCACCAGATAAAAACGGTGATGATAAATCGTACTCACCTGAACAGAGGATTGTGAGGACGAACCATGATTTCAGGTTTGACACGTTATTCCATAACCGAGTTGAAACACATTCACACATTTTAACTCCTGCACGTCTGAAGTTCTACAAGAGAACTAGCGAGTGAGTCATGTAACGTTAGCGTTTAATCATGAATTGACTGGTCTCTCCGTGAGGGCCTTTATACCGGCCTGCGTCAAATATCATAACACAGGCGGAAGCTACGTCACAAAAAACCGCCTAGTCCGAATTATAAAGAACGTATATATATATGATAGTTATATGTAAACATTGATCTATCATTGGTAGTGTTCACATGTCAGACAATTGTCCGTTGAGCATCGCGTGCTGCTCTATGTCAAATCCTCACGCTCTAGTTCACCGTTAATGTGGGCCTAAGTATGGAATCGGCGCAGCGCCAAAGGACTGGCGCACGAGTTCAATGTGTTAGCGTTTTTTCAAAATTTTGAGTTTTCTTTCTAGAATATCTGGTAATTGATTTGTAAATGAATTGTGATATTACAGCAGACTCTTTTAATTTTACTAAACATAGTTTAAGGATACCCGTACTACAGCCAAAAACTGTAACTTAAGTGTTGGACGTCGCTTTTTTCCGGCAGGACTACATGTATGTCTTCGATACATTGCGGGAATTTTATGAGAAATAATAAATATACAAAATATAACCAATAGGAGTGTTTTGAGCGGGGCTAGGCGGGGAATCGAACCCTGGACTTCAGGTCGATGTGCTATCGCTCTAACCGATTGTGCTACCTTGTCAATAGAAGTGCCTTGGCCCAACTGTGCTACAGTTTTATCCTAATATAAGAAACCCACGGTGCAGTGGGACAGGGATCTAGAGACGATTACCAATAATTGCATCCGTTCTGTGGTATTTTCAATAGTGAGGCTATAAGTGCTTCGTTCTTGGTTTTTTTTATAATAATAACTATAATAGTTTGTCAAGATATGCCCATCTCTGTGATTTTGAATAATACTGATGTCGGAGGAGAGATGGGTGAAAATGTTGAGATACTGTAATTAACTTGTGCCTAATATGTCATGTTCTTCAAATAAATATTGTTAAACAAAACTAGGGGATTGGCCAATGGTGTTGTATAGGAGAAGAGAGTTATCACGGATTGGGCATGTCTTAAAAACACACCTCGCATGAAAATTTAAATAGTGGCCAGAACGAAAAAAAATACGAATATTTTTAAAGCAAACAAAGTTACTATATTTAAATATCGTTGAATGTTTTAAAACGTCTGACAAAATCTAAAGGACTATGTCAACATGCGTGTAATATCAAGTCCTCAACTATCTAAATCACGCCCACCAGATTCCACTTAATCAAAATGCGTATCGTGAGAATTCTAAAAATTCCAGAAGTATGACAGATATCCCGTGGTTGTTGTTTTTAAACATTTATTCATATCAATAGACATGTTATTCCATGCTGGCTCTGTTGTATTACAAATTCGTTTTTGCAACATATTCGCATGCACTTTTGTTGAAAGATCAACGTCCCCTAGTCTCGTTCAACCAGATGCTTGTTCGGCGTAGCTTACGCAGACTAAAAGAGTCTGGTTGGACGAGACTAAACGCCCCACTGCAGACAAAACATTTGAGAGTTCCACTGTTTTTCGTACATAAAATTACATCCCTTACATTCTTTTTTGGATGACTGTAGCGCGACTTATTATCAGGGTACTAGGCAAGGTTGCTCACTTCGAGCGATTATGCAAATTGAAATTACCTGAATTGTACTTATGCCGGGTCGGGAAAGAATAAACCTGATCAATTCCAAGAAATCAATGTATATATAAGTTGTAAAACTTGTTTCAAAATCCTATTTCTCAATTATGTATTGCTTCATATTATACTATAAATGTAACAAAAATATGAAATAAAGTTTATGTCATCTTATCAAGAATTTCTTCTCCTTATACAGAATCAGCAAAACATGTGCATACATCCTTACATATTTGTTTATTCAATCAGAAATTGTTTATGGATTACATGTACCTCGTATCAAGTTTGGAGCTATATGCTCGTGGTGGCGTGTATGAGCCTGTAATAATGGACGTCTTCCCGTGCAAGCATGAGCCGTTGTTTTGTATTGTTTAAGCATTACCTTTGTCTATTTTTAGGTTACTGTTTTTGTTTATGTTTCTAAACATTAAGTGTTTTAATTAATAACGGAACTGCGTCATAGCCTCGATCTGAATTCTGTAGGAACTGTAGCATGTTCACCCGATGTAGTTTGGAATTGTTTTCGTGAAGATTTTAATTTTCCATAATATGGCAAAATACAATCACCGAAAATCGATACCAATCCAAGCGGAGACGTGGCAGCGGTATACTTGTATAATGACCATTGCTAAAATAAGTTTGTAGGTCAAGGTCATTTTACTTCAATATGGCCGCTCATGGCGGCTTCACATTCAGTGTGATGGATGTTACCACAGTTTTGTATGTCGAGACCGTTGATAAAGTAGAATCTCTAACCAGATTTGCAGTATGAGTGGTGCTTTACAATTTACAATACATTTCATACTGGTTATGGAATTGTCATTTCCCATAATATCGTTTTTGCTACGAAATCATTTTGCAGCCATAAAACGCATTATAATATTGATTTGATTCAATGTTTAAATAATTATCAACAGAACACGCATGTGGAAACGGTTGTAGAAAAACACGAGCGCACAACAAGATGTCGAATATCTGCTTACAGTAGATATGGGAAAGACGAACCCTTAACGAGGAATAATTAGATAATTGATGTTATTAGTAGCGTTTGCGAAGTTTCCTGACAGTGCTGTTTTTTTCTCCCCCTCGCTGAGCCGCTAAGGCCACATGGTGGTGTATATAATACACCTATTTTCGACTTCAAATCCCTATAAATAATAGTTCAATAGTATACACTATCTTTTGATCACCAACAGCTATCGCATGTACATCCTTTGAGAAACGCCACGACCTGTATACTTGTGCACTATGCGCCTGCTGCGGTGGTTTTATCTTAAAACATAATCACAATTCAAAGAATGATATGAATGTTATTTGGCTTTTTTCAATGGGTGGATACATGTTTTCTATAAAAAAAATCTGGCATCTTCAAGACGTGCTAGGTTAAACGGAGACTGTCCTCATTACGAAAAGTGACTAAGTAGTATACCTTATCGATATAACACCGTATCTGAAGGGATAAATCACCTTACAGGGAAATAATTACTCGCGCTTGAGTTTCCCCGGTCATATTTGTCTAATTCGGAATCTTTTGAGAAAAATGAGCAAGTAGCTTCACACCCGAGCTCCGTGATGCTGAAGAAGAAGACAAAGTGCCGAGTGACAGAAGAAGTAGACAAAGTTCCGAGTGTCAGAAGAAGAAGACAAAGTTCCAGTTTACAGAAGAAATAGATAAAGTTCCGATTGACAGATGAAGAACAAGAAGATAAAGTTCTGAGTGACAGAAGCAATAGACAAAGTGCCGAGTGTCAGAAGAAGAACAAGAACAAAGTTCCGGGTGACAGAAGAAGATAAAGAAGACAAAGTTCCGAGTGACATAAGAAGAAGACAACGTTCCGAGTGACAGAAGAAATAGACAAAGAGCCGAGTGACAGAAGAAGAAGATAACGTTCCGAGTGACAAAAGAAGGCAAAGTTCCGAGTGAGAGAAGAAACAGACTGTATGCCGAGTGACAGAAGAAGACAACGTTCCGAGTGACAGAAGAAATAGACAAAGTGCCGAGTGACAGAAGCAGACAAAGTGCCGAATGACAGAAGAAGACAAAGTGTTGATACAGAAGAAGAACAAGAAGATAAAGTTCCGAGTGACAGAAGAAAATGACAAAGTGCCGAGTGACAGAAGAAGAAGACAAAGTGCCGGGTGACAGAAGAAAATGACAAGCAACCGAGTGACAGAAGAAGAAGACAAAGTTCCAAATGACAGAAGAAGAAGACAAACTTCCGAGTGACAGAAGAAAACGACAAACTTCCGAGTGACAGAAGAAGAAGACAAACTTCCGGGTGACAGAAGAAATAGATAAAGTTTCGAGAGACAGCAGAAGAAGACAATGTTCCGGGTGACAAAAAAAAGACATAGTGTCGAGTGACAGAAGAAGAAGACAAAGTGCTGAGTGACAGAAGAAGAAGACAAACTCCCGAGTGACAGAAGAAGCCGACAAAGTTTCGAGTGACAGAGAAGACAACGTTCTGGGTGACAGAAGAAATAGATAAAGTTCCGAGTGACTGTAGAAGAACAAGAAGACAAAGTTCCGGGTAACAAAATAAGAACAAGAAGATAAAGTTCCGGATGACAGAAGAAATAGACAAAGTGTCAAATGACAGAAGAAGAAAAAGAAGACAAAGTTCTGGGTGACAGAAGAAGAAGGCAAAGTTCCGAGTGACAGAAGAAGAAGACAACGTTCCGAGTGACAGAAGAAAAAGACAAAGTGACGAGTGACAGAAGAAGACAAAGTGCCGAGTGACAGAAGCAGACAAAGTGTCGAGTGACAAAAGAAACAAAGTGCCGAGAGACAGAAGAAGACAAAGTGCCGATTGACAGGAGACGACTACAATAATGACGCGTCAGTCTTAACCTTTGGACAACTGGGTTGATCGTCTGCTTTGATATATAAAAAGATATGTATTGCTTTTATGTTTCACGCAATTTTTCGTTTCCTCTCGGGCATCTATTTTTCTTGCACTTGCCAAGGATAATAAATGTATAATGTGTTCATTGAAAAGGAAAGAGCGTTTTAAGAAGGACACATTACTGCTTTGGAAAACAATGTAATATTTTGCGAATTTTATGAAGTTGACAATGCCTAGATATGATGCTGGTTATATATGCCACATAATAATATGTATCTGATGTCGGTTATCAATGTCTAGGTATGATTCGAGTTATATATGCCACGTAATAACATGTATATATGATGGCGGTTATCAATCTCTAGGTATGATTCGGGTTATATATGACACGTAATAACATGTATATATGATGTCGGTTATCAATGTCTCGGTATGATTCGGGTTATATATGCCACGTAATAATATGCATCTGATGTCGGTTATCAATGTCTAGGTATGATTCGGGTTATATATGACACGTAATAACATGTATATATGATGTCGGTTATCAATGTCTCGGTATGATTCGGGTTATATATGCCACGTAATAACATGCATATATGATGTCGGTTATCAATGTCTAGGTATGATTCGAGTTATATATGCCACGTAATAACATGTATATATGATGGCGGTTATCAATCTCTAGGTATGATTCGGGTTATATATGACACGTAATAACATGTATATATGATGTCGGTTATCAATGTCTAGGTATGATTCGGGTTAT